AAGAGTTCTTTATTATTATTATTATTATTTTTTTAGTAGCTGTGGGAATTGAATTTAAAAAGTAAAAATACATTTTATAATGAAAAAAATTGTAAAATACCGGTATTGTAAAACTAAACGCTCCCGCTCCCACTCTATGTCTCTATCACTGAAATGTTCACCAAAATTAGAATATGACCGCAGGCTGAGCTTTTTTTAGAAGATTATAAGGAAGCATGTTTTAGGTTTAAACAAAAGTTTCAGTGATTTGTGAAACTATACAGAATCATGCTGAGAAAATAAACCGAATCATACGAATATCTTTTTTTTTTAATACAAATTATGTTTTATTTAAACCAAAACTTCAATGATTTACGATTCCAAAATTGAATTTACCTTTAGATATAAAGTGGTCTTAATTAAAGGCAATTAATGCTTGTCATATTGCAATGCTACCTTAAACTCCATGTGATTATTTTTTTCTTACAATTCATCTTTTTTAATTAGTCAAAAGTTTTAATAATTTTTGTCTTATTTTGAAACAATAATAAAAATTCAATTTTCTCAATTAGTTTTGTCTTACTTATTCTTCCATTCAATTTTTTTTAAAAAAAAATTCAAGATTCAATCATTGCATTTTTTTTTCTAAAATTTATTTACTATTCATTTCTTTAAAAAAAATAGCAATTAATTTTTAATTTTATAAATTCCACTTCTTTCTATATCTCCCACTTATTTCGGAAGAAAAGCAAATACTCATAAATTTAGGTAACTATTTTTTAAAGGAACATATTAAGGGTTCAAATTTTCACCATTCCATATACATAATTAGACTTTTCAACCTTGATTTACATTTTTGAAAGACCAATTTGTCAAATAAATTTTTTCTAATTTTATCAAGTCAAATAAAATTGATGGAAACTCTTATATTTTTATTTTGAATTTTTTTGATCATTACAACAGCTATCATCTCACAATTTCATAAAAAACCCATACGATGCCAACATTTGATGCTCTATTAAAAAAATTAAAAGAATATAAACAAATGAATAGCACAAGTTTGACTTACGCGATTAAAAAAAATTAAAAAAAAAATCAATTAGGCGTAAATACATGGCATGAGGGAAAAAAATAAAACAATCAAAAAAGATTCTCATACCATAGATAGAAAATTTGTTTGAAAGCTGCATCATAATTGGCAAATAATTTCACTTAACTAAATACATAATTAATGGACAACATAACAATATGGGCAGTATGATTAAATTAAAATATTAATAAAACTAATATCAAATCTCAACTACTAAATGTAACACTATCCATAACTAAGAATATTTCATATTAAGAGGGTACAAAAGCTCAAATTAGATGCACTTTGGAAAGATCATATGCTGTGATGTGTACAATCTGAGGAATAAGGGACAACATTATTGAGGAAGATTCCATGGAAAAAAACAAATGTAAAAGAATGTAAATTTCAAGAGGCACTGACTAGCTCAAGGGTAGGCATAGAGGTTCCTGCTAAGAAGGCTTTGAAAAGTGCAAGAGCAAGTTTTGGTTTATGCAAAGGAACTTCATGCCCTGCACCCCTTATAACCACAAACGTGAGTCCATCATATTCTTGGGTCCATCCTCCAACCTGTTTCACTTATATATCAATGCACTAAACTGAAGTAAACAATAAAAAGGGGAGAAAATAGAAAATTAACGAAGAGAAACCAAGTCATATGAAATAGAAGACAAAACAAAACTTATTTTAAAAATCACTTACTTCCCCATCATCATACCATGCATGCCAAGGGCTCAAAGGTGAAAGCTTGAGAGCATCTATGCTATAACGAGTAGATGTCGCAGGGATTACGGTATCTGTATTACCACTGACATAAGGGAACAAAATATATAAGTTTGGTGGCAAAGATTGTTTGAGGAGGGAATGAAAGGATACTTTACTTCAAGCAGATTGGGTTCCAAAAGGACTTAATGGGACATTGACAGTCTTTTCATTATAACCTTTTTGCTTTTAAACTAAAACATGTTTACTTAAGATCAAACCAAATCTGTCCCTTAAGTGTCAAAACTGAAAACCATCATGCAGGAAATGAATTTTGAAATGGAAATGGAGAAAAAAGTTGGAAAATCTTATGCTATGAAGTAACTAAAATTATAGTGGTTAAAATGTTTACTATAACTCAAGTGTTCACAAAATTTCCCACACTACTTCCTATATTAGCAAACTAACAAGAAACAAGACAGCTTTGAGCTAACACATTAATTACAACACCAGCTAAAGTAGCTAATACCATACAAGAAAAAAAAAATAATGGACATACAAACACATGAGGTGATTATATAACATTAAGGAGATCAACTGATCAGATGTCATGTAAGTACTTTGTTATGCTCAAGTGTCTGTTACTCTGATCAACTAAGGGACCTCAATCAAATACTAAAAATAAGAAGCAACATCAAGGATTTGATATGAGGGATAAATCTTAATTGCAGTATTTTCAGATCCTAAGTAATTAGCAAACTGTCTTAGTCAACAAAACACAGATAATTGCTGCAGATTACTTTGAAGTCCTTTCTAGCTAATATTTACTTGTATGCAAGTATGAAAGCATATGAACGAGTAAACACATATGTAATTATGTGTGATGTTAGGCGATGAGAGTAACCTGAACATCCATATCCTCAATCCGAAATGAATAAGTTCATGATAAATATTGAGCACTGTTCTCGGAGAATCCTTCCAGTTGTTATTTACGAGTTCACTGCAAAGAATGAGAATAAGATGGTTCTGATCTCTGTACATTTGGTAAAATGAATTAGTTGTAGGGGATCTAAAATTGTTAAGGAGTATTATAAAGGAAAGCACAGCAGCTGAGTGTTAAATGCATTTTATTTACTAATCAAACAGATTAGAATGATAAACCTCATTTATTTTGGTATTTGACCTTGTCTAGCAATGAATAAGGATGTATTCCCAATAACCACATTGAATTCCTAAGCAAAGTTGCACTTGTTTAATCTACAATACATATTGTGAACATAAATCTAAACTTTACAAGTGTTTCTCAAATGATCATCACCTGCAGGTCTCCCATGTAGCAGGCTTGTGATTTGGATCAACATGAAGTTTCTTTTGGACCTCAGGTAGATTGAAGTATACAGTGGAGTGACCCTCAGTGCAAGGATCATACTCTGAACCGAGTCTACCAACTCTCTGTTACATGACATAACGTGGCAATAAGGATCTGTATATAAACTTGTCACAAACCTTGTAGCATGGTATACATATAATCCCACATCCTTTGAAATATGACAACAATTTCTATTTTAGGGTTGTATTTGATGACTTTCGTATCCAAATACTCCAAAAACTAATGAACGTTTTATGATAACTCTCAGATTCCACAGACAAAAGATAGAGAGGAAGATTGATACGATAAATTAGCTTTTGAGTGGGAAACAAATATACACTCGGACTATGTATAGGCCATTTACAGCACTAATTTGTAATAAAGATGTAAACTAAGAAATTTATGGGGCTATTATAAGTATTACTCAAGATAACCATATTTTTTTCCTATTTACGAGTATCCAAGAAGAGTTGTAAAGTTTTATTAGCTGTGACCATTCTGTATCATATATGCATGTCAGAATGTGTACACAAACCACAGGCATTACATGTCCATTTAATAAATAAAAAAAATTCTACGACACGCCATGGACACAGCTCATTTAACTTTTTTTATAAAAAAGAAATACAGTTTCAGTCATTTTGAACTTTTAGGGAAGATAATGAGGAGTTTGGAGCTATATCCAAACCATTCTAGCAAGGTATCGCAATGTGGATGAGGAAGTTCGAAGGGATCCAATGTTGGCCAAAATTATTAATGACTTACATGAAAAAGGGTATTCCCAATATGACAATTCTAGCTTGGGTGAAGTTAATGGCAGCAAACTTCTAACACATGGATGAAGAGGGTCTACTTCGTAATGCAATCGAGTTTGCCGGAAGTGGTGTTAGAAAGGAGCAATGAGGATGGGAATATTGGCAAAAAGAGGAGCAAAGGGGTGGGAAATATTGTTGGCTACTTGGCTATGGTGGATCAAGGGCTGAATTTACCATGAATGGTTGAGGCCACTTGGGAAATGGACATGCAGACCATTAGCACTCAGATTCCATATTCCAACCTTGAGGACAAGGTTGAATATCAAGGGGATAACACTAACAGATAGGAGTTAGTTAAAATTGTTAGGTGGTTAAAGTTGTAGAAGTAGAAAATTAGCTTAAATAGATGGAGAGGGTAAAAGAGTGGGGATTCTGATTTGTTATCTTTTTTTCTTGAAACAAAACTTAATATAGTGATCTTAAATACTTTCATTTTGTGATGATGTCCACTTGAAATTATAAAAACTGACAAGATTCTTAAATCTTGATTTCTCTTGTTTGAGAAGTTTTGGCCAGTTGAGCCTAAAGAGAGCTATTTTGAAGGGAATGGTGGCTACGTGGAGTTTGTAATGCCAAATGATGTCAGGTAGTTTGCAACAGGGTTCACTAACAAAAATTTGGAGAGAGAAGAACTTAAAAAAATAATTATAAGATGATGTCTTACATCTGCTACAGAAATCAAATTTACAATCACAATGGTTGTATTAGTCATGAATCAAACACCTGTGATGTGAATTATAATAACCCTCACTAGTAATTGGGGATTTAATATTGAAGAATAATTAGAAGTAAAAGAAATAAAGTCACCCTTAGTGAAAAATGAGTTAAAATGACAGTTAAGGGATAAAAATGAGGGTAAACAAAGTTACCCGAAATGTGAGAGTAAAGTTAAAAATATGACTACAAAAATATTCTAGTCCATTAGGAAAAATTTGGTAATAAATGGAGGTGTGTAGATAGATAAACCTTTACCCAGTTAAAGTAACTTAAATTTTACACACGGTGAAATCCTTATTTCTCCTTCTTTCTGCGCGCTGTTTCCTTTCTTTTTCGTCTCTCTCACTGATGCTCGACGCTTCCATGGAGAAAGGGACCTAGGTTAGTTTTTTTTATTTCCTCTCATTTCCACTCAAATTCTCACCAAAAGCCATGATGCCATGCATGAATCTTTAAGGAAAAAGGCTAGTGAATCCATTCCACCACTCCATTTGGGCTGATTTGGCTTGTGGAGAGAGTTATTCATCAAACCCAATTCGTGACACTATTCATGCTTGTAGAAAAGTGGGGCTTTTGAGTGAGTAAAGCTTGAGGTTTGTTCTTTGGAGCTTGGAATAGCTACTATAGGTGAGAAACTTCTAATCCTATAGTTTTATTTTTGTGATTTATGTCTTGGAATTTATGAGCATGTTTTGAGTGAGATATAAATTAGTTTAAAATTTGAATTGATGATGGATTGTTGATGTGTTGGGTGTAGGAAGGTGGAATAAGCATGTGAACATGTATAAAATTGGAAAAAAATCCCATGGTGAGATGCCCTAGATTTCGGCCTTGATACGGTAATTAGGGGATGATGTACAAAATTTATTGTATGTATTGGGAAGGTTTAATATGTTGGAATAAGTGGAAATTTGGTGCATTAGTGAGAATGCCAAAGTGGGAAAAAATCCTATGTAGTATGCTCCTATGTTTCGACCTTGATGTATATTGGAGGAGTTTAATGTTTAAAATTTAATTAGACATTGTGGATATGTATATATATAAATATATACATGTGTGTGTAAGTTACTAAGTGAAGAAAGAATAAGTAAAAAGAAAAGAACCCTTTTGCCTATTCTCATTGTGGAATTCGACCTATAGGGTGGCTTAGGGATATATTTTGTACATTTTATTTTAAATAAAATGTGTTGTAATAAATTGTATAAAAGTGATGAGTTTTGAAGAAAAATAACATGATTTATGTTGAAAATTCCTAAGGGAATAGGTCATTAAATTAAAGAACACCAACGGTTATAAAGAGGTCTAGACTTGTGTATTGGCATAGGATTGGCAAAAACGCAAAGAAATGAAAAGAAGCGATAAAATGTATGCCTTATGTGAAAACTAGGCATGATGGCATTTTATTAATTGGTATTTGTGGATTCTTGCTCTAGGTGTACCTAGGGACTAAAAAGGAATCAGAATCTCTTGAAGATATATAAGTAACTTGTGCAACAAGTAAGGGTATTGGTAAAGCTTCAAGAGGTAAGCTCTATGTTTAAGGAGTCTTTTCCTGCTTGAGTGCTCCACCATGGTTAGTGAACTATGGTTGGACTGTATGACTGTGATTTAGATGCTTTGTATAGATGCATTCATATAGAGTTATTTGATAACATGATATGTTTTGCTCTGATATGACTTCTGTAATATGATTTCTGTAACAATCTCTGGCCATTGATTGTATAGTACCCAGATGTCTGCTTTGGGGTCCTCCCTCGGGACTGATGGTGTACGCCTCTGATATGTCTGGTTCCGCTTTGGGGTCCTCCCTCGGGAACACGTGCGTTGATTTCCGCTTGGGGTCCTCCCTTGGGAATGACGGCGCACATCTCTGATATGATATGGATATATGCTCTGTTCTGTTATGATATCTGTTATATGTTGTATTTGTATACTCTGTATCTGACTTTCATGCAGGAGTGAGCCAGGGGTATGGAGAATTCTCTATAAACCTGGAGCTTATTGAGATTTGTAATCTCACCCCTCGTTGGGGACATATTTTCAGGTGCCCAGATTCCCGGTGAGTCCTCACTAGGCAGGGACGCGACACGTGGCTGAGGCAGTTGACGGATTGGATTTTGAATGGCCGTAGGCTACTACTTTTTGGAAGTATATTTATGTCATTTTGTATTTCCGCCTTTGATGGATCATGACATTGATCCTTTATTTTGTATATGGCCTGTATATGTTTTGTACATGTATGTCAGTTTGATGCATGTACATTTGAGTATTCAGGAACGTTATATGATGATGTAGTATTCAGATAGGTTTACGTTTTGCTGGCATGTTGTTAGATATAGTGGCACGGAGCCATGTTATGCATGCGCCCATGTATGGGTATTTGATTATATTTGGATATCTGGTATTTCTGAATTGATATGTTGTATAAACTGTTTATCAGGAAATGCTTCTGAGTGGGATTGGAAAATCCCCAGTTGTCCGATTTATAGAGGAAACTCTGCCCGATTTTCGTTTACGCCGAGTAAGAATTAAGTTAGAAAAAGAAAAAGTTAGCTCATATTTTCGTAAGTTAAGTCTTCCGCTGTTTCTGTTTATATCAAGTGTATGTTAATTGAACCGGCTCGAGACGGGGATGTTACATGAATCCTCGTAACAATTAGCAATCTATAAATTTCTATAGTTCCAAATCTACTTATACCTCTTGTACATACAATATAACTGTACAAGCCTTGCATTAGAAAAACAACTCACATCAACCACATGTTATCCTAGATAGCAGCCACACATGAATAGGCATCATGAGAAAGGTGATTCCTTAATAGCAACCATTATCCATCTCAGACTAATGAAATCAAAGACAGCATCCTCATGAATCAAACCAAGGTCACTCATCATTTCCTTCTATTGTATTTGTTTCACCAGTTGAGCCTATACCCACTTTAGATATGGTAGAGTCATGTTCCTTATCAAAGATGGATGTTCAATGACAAATGCTTTGCACTCATCTTGATCGATACTACAAACTCCTTCTTTATCAGCATCACCAAAAACTCTACGGAAGAAGCTATAATCAGTACCAGAAAGAAGGGACACTATTTTCAATGGAGTTCTGAAAGCAACACTGTAAAATTTTGTGAACCTTATCCACAATGGTTTCAACAATATCATCTGCAAGTACCAGAAATGACTCGTGCAAAGGTGCAACTACTATCTCCTTCAACTGCATATAAACCATTAGTGTAAAGCAAGGAAAGTAAAACTTATATAGAAAAATATAATGATCGAGCATATACACGCGTAAGAAAGGAAGAACCAAAAACCCATATTAATAGCTAAAGTTATTCATGTGAGCTTATTTTAAATGTAGAAACAAGAACAGATTAACATTTAAATAACTAATACATATATTTCTCACAGATAGACTGCATAATAATTCAGTCTCCAAGAACCTGAACGAGATTAAGCAATTCTAAATTATCAAAAAAGGTCAGATTAACACACCCTGTCTGCGAACAGATTACTCATGTTCTTGTTCCTGAAGAGTGCCACATGAAATTCTTCCTGCATGTCCATATGATGATGTAAAAGGTTAATTATCTATTAGAGATTGCTGAATCAAACTGATAGTAATCTGAAACGACACCTCACCTCCCTGATAGACCATCTTTAAAAACTGAATTGCTCAACTTGATATACAGCTCATATAAGGCATCTTCTGCAAGACGTTTTGACATCCTCCTCCTTTCAACCTCATCAGCCAAGGCATTACGTAACTCCTCAATTTCAATATACCCACTTTGGTTCTGATCAAAAAATTGGAAGGCTTTGTGAAGGTGTTCATCATTGCCCATCTTTCACAGATGAATAGAAACGGCTAAAAACTCTCCATAATCTAGGTACCCATCTTTATCTAAATCACCCTGTAAAAGCAACCCCCGAAGATTAGAAGTAGAAGAGACAACTTTCAAGGCCATATATGTAAAACAATAAATTAACACAAACAGTAGAGTACATTCATGTAGAACTTTCTGTTAAAGTAAAAGAGGAAACAACACCAAGAGAATTAAGAATGTCTGCTTGTGACAATTTATTAGTTCAAACATTAATAATAAAGCCTGTTTGTGTTAGCATATATGAACTAATACACTAATACGAAGTAAAATAATCCAAGTTTGCAATTAGTTTGATATATTACAAAATCAACACTATGGAAAAACAATTATTTCTTTACATATCAATTGTGGAACAAACGAAGAAAGATTCAAGGTAAAGGGAAATACTCACAGCTTCCAAAATGAAGAAATGATGGTGATATTAATAATCGATCTATACAATTTTTTTATGAAAAAAAAACCCCAATAGAAGATTAGTGCCAATCTGGGGTACCTCCGGTGGTCAAACATGGACAGCCATAGCAGATAACCCTGAAGACACAATTAGAATCACAACTATCAGAATATGATGAAATCGATCTGCAACGGAATCAACAAAATCATATCGCAGGGAATCCCTAAAGTCAGTGTCAGTAACAAAACTTATAGATCATTTAGTTGCAGGGAATCTCTAATTTGACCTTGTCTAGCAATGAATGAGGAAGGTATTCCCAATAACCACATAGAATGCCGAAGCAAATTTGCTCTTGTTTAATTAAGCAAAGTTGCTCTTGTTTAATTTACAATACATACTGTGAACATATCTAAACCAAAAAAAAAAAACAATTAAAAAAATAGTTTGGGCGTGAATTAAAAAAAAAAAATCATGTATGAAATTGTGTTGCTGTCCATAATCCCTTATCCACTAGCACAAGCAGCAAGTAAAAGCAGAGGATTAAACACATTTTGAGGATTGTTTGTTCCAACTTCCAGGCTAGTTTGTTTTCATTTTAGCCTACCCTACCCCTCCCCACACCAGATTTTAAAACTTCTTTATAACAAAAAAAGAGAGTAATTGCCTCCATTCTCTTTCAGTCTGAATCATTCAGTAAAAACCGTATCGGATGGAAATATGTACAGATGTAAAACACAATCTAGTTATCAATTGTAACACCAAATGTAAAAGTCTATATTAATCCCAGGCATGAAAAACAAAGTTTAGTTACCAATGAGAAGGAAGTATATACATCAATCAAAGGACTAAACAACTTCATATATACAAGTAATCAAATGAGAAGGAAATATTACAAAACTCAAAGGACTAAACAACCTCATACTGTAATTTGAGCTACTAAAACAGTGATATCATCTTTCTTTCCACCCACGTGATTAAGTCCTTCCCTCTCAGAAGCATCTTGAAAAGGGGTTCGACTATCTTTGGACAAGGAAAAGAGTAGAGCAACATCTGCTATGTGCTCAGCCAAATCATCGACTCCCAATATTCCATCTGACCAGCTCAGAATATATTCAATAGTATCAATGTACAAATTGTCAAAAAGTCCATCACTTCCTAACACTAGGATATCCCCTGCCTCTACCGGAAACTTATACTCACGTGCAGAGTCAGGGCGGTCACTACTCTCACCGTTCCCCAACTGAAATGGCGCGTTGAAAGAGTGCTGTTGGAAGTCTGATTGAAACAAAAACCTATTATTTCTAAAGATCATCAAACCACTATCACCCACATTAACCCCATGCAACACCCCTTCCCTCAGAGTAACAATAGATGCTGTGGAGGAACCTTTAGCTTTGGTATTCAAGAAAGCATCGTTCAACACTTTTCTTGGATCAACAAAGCCTTTTTTTGATTGAAGATGAACAGCATTCACAGCCTGTGTCATGAGCTCTCTGGCATATTCACCGGAATCGATCCCTTTCTTGGCCCAACCACCGACCCCATCAGCCACACCCATGGTTCGCTGTTCCTCACAGATGAAGAATGCGTCTTCTCCCATTGGTTTCTTTGGGTTATCCTTTGGATAGTAGAATTTCCCAACAGCCATCTTCAACACCTTCAACCGTTTCTTTGGCTTTTCTCGATCACCAGCGTATTTATCACATTTATCCCGACAACGCTTCTTGATAATCATCTTGGAATTTCAAATTTCAAAGAAAAGAACAGATCGCGCAGAGATAGAAAGACAGAAAGAAAGAAATAAAAGACTCAACGGCTATAACAAGTGTTTGATTCGACCGAATTGAGTGTGGGTTGGGTTTGATAAAAGAAAAGAAATTTGATAAAAGAGATGACAGAAAGAAAAGATGTAGTTACTGCAAGAGAGAAATAAAGAAACGACAGAAAGAAAGATAAGAACAGATTGGCGCAGAGAAATAAAGAAAGAAAGAATTGAGTGTGGGTTGGGTTTGATAAAAGAGAGATGTAGTTTGTGTTTGATTCGAGTGACTGAGAGAGAGATAAGCAGCAAAAACACTCAAAGAAAAGAACAGATGGCAAAGAAATAAAGCAATGACAGAGATGTTGTGTGTGCGCGCTTGATAAAAGAGATCTGTATTAGGGTGGGTTCGGTTGTGTTATTATAAAGAACAAGGGTGTGTGTTTAAAGGATTCGACCGACTGAGAGAAGCAAAAGCACTCAAATAGCCAACTGACTCAATCAACTGCTATAATCTTTCTCCTCCACCGCTGGGTTCCCGCTCTATTTTTTTTGTCTTTTTAATACAGATTATGTTTTATTTAAAGCAAAATTTCAATGATTTACGATTCCAAAATTGAATTTACCCATAGATATAAAGTGGTAATTAAAGGCAATTAATGGTTGTTTGTCATATTGCAATGCTGCCTTAAACTCCTCCATGTCATAATTTTTTTTCTTACAATTCATCTTTTTTTAAATAATTAGTCAAAAGTTTAATATTTTTTGTTTTATTTTGAAACAATAATAAAAATTCAATTTTCTCAATTATTTTTGTCTTACTCATTCTTCCGGCCCTTGCACCCCTTATTAGATTAATTGAAAACAAATCAATTGGATTGATTGACCAAAATTAAGGAAATCAATTAATTAAAATAATTGGCTAAAATTGAAAAAACAAATCAATTAGATTGATTTATCAAAATTAAGGAAACCAATTAATTAAATCAATTATAAAATAAATTTAATCATAATTTTATAAAATGTTTGTATAAAAGAAATCTTAGTAATTAAAAGCATTATATAATCAATCCATTTTATGCACCTTATTCGATTATATAATCATAACATTTTTGTTCTTTTTTTTTGTTTGATTAACATTCTTTTGAAACGTAATCATCGTGTAATCACTTTATGTGATTTAATTATAATTTATAACATACAATTTTATTTTTTTGAATTTATGATTTAGTTATCTTGTAGTACTTTATTTCCTAATTTGAATTTATGATATCATGCATTAAAAACTTTTATTTCCGTTTCTCTTTTATTTCCGTCATTAACATGAGCGATTTAACTGTTAGTAAAAACTTTTGTTTTATTTCCAAAAAAAAAAACTTTTGTTTTATTTTTTAAATTATTTCAAAAAATTAATACCTTTAAATTTTTCTATGTTAATTTTTTTTTTATCAAATATCATTTATTTATACTTTCAAATTTATTATTCTCAATTTTCGTTTATAATTATAATATATTTATTATTCTCAGTTTTAACTTATCAGTTTTTTAATTTTAAATTCAATTTTCTGAATTGATTATGCACATTTTCTTTTCTTTTTTAATTTTTTTTTTTGATGTGTAATTTATAATTTTTACTATATGAATTAAGTATAAACCTCTTATATATAATTTTAAACAATTTCTAAAAATATACTACATAATTCATACATTTTAAATATATATATATATAAAAGAGAGTTCAATGTTGGAAAGTTTTGTCAAGTGCCACTCTCCGGTCAATTCTACAAATTGTATTCACACTACATGGCATATACAAACTTTCTTTATTAGGTAAATTGGAAAAAAAATTCTTTTAAAAATCGAATTTTAAATTTTAAATCGAATAATTAAATGACCATTTGTGGTGGCAGACAAGGCATTGAATGTCCCACTGCCCATCACATTGGTATCCAAAAAAAAATCAGCTGTTTTAATTGCTTTTTATGTTGGAACTCGTCGTCTGATCTAAAATTCAAAATTTGAAATGGCTTAAAATTTTGAATTTAAATATGGATGGCGGGAAAAAAAAATTCTTTCAAAATCGTATTTTAATTTTTAAATCGAATAATTAAATGACCATTTGTGATGGCAGACAAGGCATTGAATGTCCTACTGCCCATCACATTGGTATCCAAAAAGAAATCAGTTGTTTTAATTGCTTTTTATGTTGGAATTGGTTATCTGATCTAAAATTCGAAATTTGAAATGGTTTAAAATTTTGAATTTAAATATGGATGGTGGGAAAAGATTTACTTTTAAAAATCGAAATTTAATTTTTAAATCGAATAATTAAATGACCATTTGTGGTGGCAGACAAGCCATTGAATATCCCATCACTTTGGTATCCAAAAAGAAATAAGCTGTTTTAATTACTTTTTGTGTTGGAATTGGTCATCTGGTCTGAAATTTAAAATTTGAAATAGTTTAAAATTTTGAATTTAAATATGGATGGTGTGAAAAAATATTTCTTTTAAAAATCTAATTTTAATTTTTAAATCGAATAATTAAATGACCATTTGTGGTGGCAGACAAGGCATTGAATGTCCCACTGCCCATCACATTGGTATCCAAAAAGAAATCAGCTGTTTTAATTGCTTTTTATGTTGGAATTGGTTATCTAATCTAAAATTCGAAATTTGAAATGGTTTAGAATTTTGAATTTAAATATGGATGTTGGGACAAAAATTTCTTTTAAAAATCGAATTTTATTTTTTTAATCGAATAATTAAATGACCATTTGTGGTGGTAGTCAAGGCATTGAATGTCCCACTGCCCATCACATTGGTATCCAAAAAGAAATCAGCTGTTTTAATTGCTTTTTATGTTGGAATTGGTCATCTGATCTAAAATTCGAAATTCGAAATGGTTTAAAATTTTGAATTTAAATATGGATGGAGGGAAAAAAAATTTCTTTTAAAAATCTAATTTTAATTTTTAAATCGAATAATTAAATGACCATTTGTGGTGGCAGACAAGGCATCGAATGTCCCACTGCCCATCACATTGAAATCCAAAAAGAAATCAGCTGTTTTAATTGCTTTTTATGTTGGAATTGGTCATCTGATCTAAAATTCGAAATTTGAAATGGTTTAAAATTTTGAATTTAAATATGGATGGTAGGAAAAGAATTACTTTTAAAAATCGAATTTTAATTTTTAAATCGAATAATTAAATGACCATTTGTGGTGGCAGACAAGGCATTGAATGTCCCACTGCCCATCACTTTGGTATCCAAAAAGAAATCAGCTGTTTTAATTGCTTTTTATGTTGTAATTGGTCATATGATCTAAAATTTGAAATGGTTTAAAATTTTGAATTTAAATATAGATGGGGGAAAAAAATTTCTTTTAAAAATCTAATTTTAATTTTTAAATCGAATAATTAAATGACCATTTGTGGTGGCAGACAAGGCATTGAATGTCCCGCTGCCCATCACATTGGTATCCAAAAAGAAATAAGCTGTTTTAATTGCTTTTTATGTTGGAATTGGTCATCTGATCTAAAATTTGAAATTTGAAATGGTTTAGAATTTTGAATTTAAATATGGATGGTGGGAAAAAAATTTCTTTTAAAAATCGAATTTTAATTTTTTAATCGAATAATTAAATGATCATTTGTGGTGGTAGACAAGGCATTGAATGCCTCACTTCCCATCACATTGGTATCCAAAAAGAAATCGGCTGTTTTAATTGCTTTTTATGTTGGAATTGGTCATCTGATCTAAAATTTGAAATTTGAAATGGTTTAAAATTTTGAATTTAAATATGGATGGTGGGAAAAAAAATTCCTTTTAAAAATCTAATTTTAATTTTTAAATCGAATAATTAAATGATCATTTGTGGTGGCAGACAAGGCATTGAATGTCCCACTGCCCATCACATTGGTATCCAAAAAGAAATCAGCTGTTTTAATTGCTTTTTATGTTGTAATTGGTCATCTGATCTAAAATTCGAAATTTGAAATGGTTTAAAATTTTGAATTTAAATATGGATGGTGGGAAAAGAATTACTTTTAAAAATCGAATTTTAATTGTTAAATCGAATAATTAAATGACCATTTGTGGTGGCAGACAAGACATTGAATGTCCCACTGCCCATCACTTTGGTATCCAAAAAGAAATCGGCTGTTTTAATTGCTTTTTATGTTGGAATTGGTCATCTGATCTAAAATTTAAAATTTGAAATGGTTTACAATTTTGAATTTAAATATGGATGGAGGGAAAAAAATTTCTTTTAAAAATCTAATTTTAATTTTTAAATCGAATAATTAAATGACCATTTGTGGTGACAGACAAGGTATTGAATGTCCCACTGCCCATCACATTGGTATCTAAAAAGAAATCAGCTGTTTTAATTGCTTTTTATGTTGGAATTGGTCATCTGATCTAAAATTCGAAATTTGAAATGGTATAGAATTTTGAATTTAAATATGGATGGTGGGAAAAAAATTTCTTTTAAAAATCGAATTTTAATTTTTTAATCGAATAATTAAATGACCATTTGTGGTAGTAGACAAGGCATTGAATGTCCCACTGCCAATCACATTGGTATCCAAAAAAAATCAGCTATTTTAATTGCTTTTTATGTTGGAATTGGTTATCTGATCTAAAATTCGAAATTTGAAATTATTTAAAATTTTGAGTTTATGTTTATAATTAAGTTTATGTTTTATTCAAAATCTTTTAAGAGTTTTTATTATTATTATTATTATTATTATTATTATTATTATTATCATTATACATTTTTTAGTAGCTGTGGGAATTGAATTTAAAAAGTAAAAATACATTTTATAATGAAAAAAATTGTAAAATACCGGTATTGTAAAATTAAACGCTCTCACTCTCTGTCTCTATCACTGTCATGTCCACCGAAATTAGAATATGACCACAGGCTGATTTTTTTTTAGATCTTTTTTTATAAGATTATATGGAAGCATGTTCTATGTTTAAACAAAAGTTTCAGTGATTTGTAAAAGTATACAGAATCATGCTGAAAAAATAAATCAAATCATACAGATATCTTTTTGTCTTTTTAATACAGATTATGTTTAATTTAAAGCAAAACTTCAATGATTTATGATTCCAAAATTGAATTTACCCTTAGATATAAAGTGGTAATTAAAGGCAATTAATGGTTGTTTGTCATATTGCAATGCTACCTTAAACTAGGGGTGTTCGCGGTCTGGATTGGATCGGTTTTGGAAGCAAAAATCATCCGATCCATTTCCTTCGGCTTGATCATATAATCATCCATTCGGTTTGGATTTTCTTTTAAATCCGATCCGATCCAATCCAATTTTTTTCGGTTTGGATTGGTTCGGTTTTTGATTTTTTGAAAATCCTAAAATTTATTTCATGATTATTGTGCAAATAACATCTTTTGTATATATTGGTTTTGTAAAAAAAAAAAATTTGAAATACAAAAGTATTAGTAAACTATAATATAGTTTTTTTTGGACAATGAGATATGAAGCTCTACAAACATAAAATTTTGTTGATCAGATGTGACTAGATTTTTTTTTGGGTTTAGTTGATGGGTTAAGGGGTCTTGGGTTTAGAAATTTTTAGGCTATGATTAGTATAATAGCCCATCTTAATTAATTAGTAAATCAAGTGTAATTAATTAATTAAACATGTTTTAGTGAGTGAAATTAAGTATAAGGCTTAATTAAATGAATCTGAGTCACTTTGGAGTTAAAAAGTGTACTCAGTGAAAATTAAGGGGTATAAATGGGTACTGGCAAAAGTACCCAAAATATAAAAATAAAAATAGTAATATTCCTAGAATAATATTCCAGACTTTTGGGTAAAGTTTGGTAATTATTGGAGTTAAATAGATAGACGAACCAATACCCGCTTAGAGCCACTTAACCTATGTTAAGTGACTTAAGTCACCAAATGACCCTCATTTCCCACCCAACCCGTCGAACCAGAAAGGGGAAGAGAAGAGAGGGAGAAGAGAGGGAAGAAGAAAAGGGAAAGAGAGAGAGAGAGAGAGCTAATCCCAACGGTTTTGGGTGATTCAAAAGCCTAAATCGCTTAGAATCTCGCCCTCTTTCATAATCCTTGCTTTGTTTTGAGTGGGGAGCATTGTGGAGAGAGATATTACCTCTCAAAAATCCGGCCCTTTGGTGAAAATTGGGGTTTTGAGAGTTTCTACCTCCATTGAAGCTTGAGGAGCCATCAATCCTTGGTTGTGTGACCATTGGTGGTAAGATTCTAACCCTTGAACCTCATGATTCCTTGAAATTTGCATGAGTTAGGGTTTGTGAATAGTAAATTGGGATTTTTATGAAATGTAGTTGAATTAGCTATGTTCTAGGAAGAATGGAGCTTAGAGCATGTTATGGAAAATGCTAGGAATGTCATTTAATCGGTGGAAATGAGCCTAGATAGTCATTTGATAATTGTTCATAATATTGGAAAATTCATGCTTGGATTGGTTAGTATTCTAGCATGTTGAACAATTAGTGAGTTGAATGATTGATTGGATCCTTGTGATGTCTAGGATTGAGACATTTGGACCAACCGTGAGTGATCAACCATTGGAGCAAGCTATGGAGCTTGAATAGCTCATTGGAATTGGTGTATGTTTGTAAAAGTTGATTGCTGAAACTGTTGGTGAAGAACAAAGGTTGACTGAAGCATTGAGGTAAGCCTTCGGACCTTGGGTGTAATTCCCTTGACTGTTCTACCAAGCCCTGAAAGGGCGGAGGTTGTGATTGTGTATATAAATGCAATAAAATAGTGTAATGCTTTGTTATACGTATGTGTATGCATTTGGTGTGGCATAGGATGGTGTTTCCCTATGTTGGTATGTGGCATGACGATGCGTAAATCATACTTGGTAGTTAGCTGGCCAGTAGGACTATTTGCATCTGAGTTTCCTTAGGACAGCTTGAGAGCTCGAGGGATTTCTCCTGGAGATGTATTGCACTTTGCATAGATATGTATTTACTGCATTATTATTGTTATTGCTATTACACTGGTATGGAACTGTGGGGTGGAGATATGCTCCAAGGACCCCTGGTTGTGGGGACCCCCTTTCAGGTAAGGATGCTGCAGGAGCCTCTGGTGGCAAGTGGCCATACCTAGATTATGCATGAAATATGGCACTTCTTTGAGTTTATGCATGCCTTTTGTAGTTGACATGTATAGGATTTTATTTTGAAAGCCCATGATCATTTGTATATCTTGATTCATTGGATGAACTTAGCCTATGCTCATGCCTTTGGTTACACCTTTTGTTGATGGGAGCCAAGGGAATGATCATAGTGTTTTGTAAGCTAAGTTCTATGATTTGTAAAGGATATGTAATGTAAATGATGCCTACTTGGAATTCCATATATGCATGCTTGTTATTTATTGAGTTGTTGAATTGGTTGGTCTGAAAATCAATTAGGTACCCTCTTCGTTTAAACTGGTAAACGATGAGAAAACAAAGGTCATGCTGCCCAAATTCTAGCTAAATCTCATGAGGAGAGGTTGGATGAGTGCTAGGATTTAGTTTTGGGGCATGGACATTTGGGGTTTGTAAGGGGGATGCATTTTCCCCTAGGCTTGGACTTGAGAAATGTGGGAATTGGAATTCCCTGGCAGCGCGCTTAAGCGCCCAGGAGCGCGCCCAAGCGCCCTGCTGCCCCTGCGAGTGCCAATGCATTCTGCCTCCTCGCGCTGGAGCGCCCAAGTGGGGGCTTAAGCGCCCAGGATTGCGCGCTGGAGCGCCCTGGCGTGCGCTTAAGCGCCCCTTGCTGCAGAAAGTTGGGTGGCTTACTGCCCCCTCGTGTTTTAGCGCCCAGGGTGGGGCTTAAGCGCCCAGGGTTGCGCGCTTGAGCGCCCTGGTCCGCGCTTAAGCGCCCTTCGCCACTGAAGGAGGAGATGCTTCTGTCTCTGCGCGCTAAAACGTCCCCGTGGGAGCTTGAGCGCCCAGGATAGCGCGCCTGAGCGCCCTGTTGCGCGCTTAAGCGCCCATCCACACTGGAAATGCTAATGCTTACTGCCTCCGTGCGCTTAAGCGCCCAGATGGAGGCTTTAGCGCCCGATAGCGCGCGCTTGAGCGCCCGGTAGCGCGCTGAAGCGCGCTGGGCCTGTGACCAACACTCTCTTGTGTTGCTCCAAATTGTCCTAACTTGGGCTACAGTGCCCCGATTTGAGCACGGTTTGAAGCCACAGGTAGCTATGAAGAAACCTACAATATAGTAGAAGATGTGAACTAAATAAGAAGTAAATTAATGATTTAAAAATGGAATAAGAACATGATGTTAAGCTTAATTGATATGATTCCGCAAGGTAATACAGTTATGATCACGGAATTGGGTATTATAAATTCGGTATGTTTTAAAATGAAAAATTTATCCGGATTTTAATTGAACCCATGTGATTGTAACTGCGCTTAATATCATAATGCGATGTTAACAAACCGGTTCTAGAACGGGGTGTTACAATTAGGGAAAAATCCAAGTAGGTAGAGGAAAATAATATATTGGATCGGTTTGGATTGGATCGGTTTTCATCAACCCATCCAAAAACCGATCCAATACAATTAAAATTTGCGGTTTTTTTTTGGTTTTCAGTTTTTCGGTTTTCGGTTTTTGTTATTTATGAGTTCACTGCAAAGAATGAGAATAAGAGGGTTCTGATCTCTGTACATTTAGTAAAAGAAACAGCAGCACACACAAGCATGGAGGGAAATAGAAAAAAGTGCAATAATGCAATTTATGCTGAGCCTACAATCCCTAAAGTCGCTCTTAGTAACAAAATTACTAAATGATTTAGTTGCAAGGGATCTAAAATTGTTAAGGAGTATTATAAAGGAAAGCATAGCAGCTGAGTGTTAAATGCATCTTATTTACAAATCAAACAGATTAGAATGATAAACCTCATTTAATTTGGTATTTGACCTTGTCTAGCAATGAATGAGAATGTATTCCCATTAACCACATTGAATTCCTAAGCAATGTTGCTCTTGTTTAATCTACAATACATACTGTGAACATAAATCTAAACTTTACAAGTGTTTCTCAAATGATCATCACCTGCAGGTCTCCTATTTAGCAGGCTTGTGATTTGGATCAACATGAAGTTTCTTTTGGACCTCAGGTAGATTGAAGTATATTTCAAACTTAGAGAAATTAGGATAAAAACTGTATCTTCTCCTTTGGAGAATTCTCGTTTAAATAGTATGATACAATCTGATTTCTAGCCTTGAAGTTTGCTAAAAAGCTATAAAATGGTAATCTACAGCTGGCTAACTAATTAAGGATATAATTACACAGTAACCTACAACTGGCTAATTAATTAAGGATATAATTACACAATTACAGCTATACAGTCATTCAAGATATAATTACAAATCTGCACAAATAATGCCAAATATTCTGCCTATCAATTCTATTGACATCCCCGCTCAAATTGATGTTGGTGAATCTACAAGCATCAATTTGCTGACTAGGAAATTATGCCGTTGACATGTCAAAGACTTGGTGAGGATGTCAGCTAGTTGAATAGATGTTGAGACATGAGGTAGAGTGATAATTCTACGGTCATAGGATTCCCTGATTGAATGGCAATCGACCTCTATGTTCTTTGTTCTTTCATGGTATATAAGTTTTGTTGCAATCTGTATGGCACTTGTATTATCAGCGTACAACGGAGTTGGTGTTGCTTGTTAATAACCAAGTTCTGAAAGAAGGCCCCGTAACTTAATAATCTCAGAGCATGCTGCAGACATGGACAAATATTCTGCTTTAGTGGAGGATTTAGAGATAGATTTCTGTTTCTTGCATTTCCAGGAGATAGGGGCATCTCTTAAAAAATAATCCAGCCAGTAGTAGACTTCCTTGTGTCGGGACATCCGGCCCAATCAGCATCGCTGTATGCTTGAAGTTGTATTGTTTCACTTGTTGGAAAGAAGAGACCACTACTAGGAGTGGCCAACAAATATTTAGTTATTCGTTGTACTGCTGTAAGATGCAAGTGTCCAGGATTTTGGATGAATTTGCTGACTGTGTGAACCACAAAAGAGATATCAGGTCTTGTGATTGTTAGGTAGATGAGACTTCCTACCAACTTTCGATATAAAGTTGGGTCTTGTAGGAGTTCACCTTCATCCCGTCTTAACTTGACATCAACTTCCATTGTAGTGTCAATCATAGTTGTAGTGGTGAGACCAGCTAGCTGAATTAGATCCAGAGTATATTTGTGTTGAATGACAAAGATTTCTTTTTGTTGAAATTGTACTTCTAATCCCAAGAAATAATTGTGCTGTCCAAGATCTTTCATGTGGAAGTTGTATGCATCAATTGTTTGATTGTAGTGATAGCCTCTTGATCTTAGCCGGTGACGATAATGCCATCCACATAAACAAGGAGAATCACAATTCCTTTGGAGGTCCTTTGTAGAAAAAGAGATGGATCATAGCTACTTTGGATGAAGGAGAAACCAAGTAGGGTTGTGCTAAACTTTTCAAACCACACTCTTGGTGCCTGTTTTAATCCATACAAAGAACGTTTTAGCTTACAAACAGTATTAGGTAATAGTGAGGGCATACCCGTAGGAAGTTTGATGTAAACTTCTTCTTTGAGGTTACCATGAAGGAAGGCATTTTTGACATCTAGCTGGCGAATTGGCCAAGATTTAGATGCAGTAATGGCAATAATAGTCCGCATAGTAGTCACCTTTGCCACCGACGCAAAGGTCTCTTCATAGTCTAGGCCAAATTCTTGCTTATTTCCAAGAACAACCAATCTAGCCTTATATCGATCTATGGATCCATTTGAACGCAACTTTATAGTGAATACAAATTTACTGCCAAGAGATTTAACCGATGGAGGACATGGAACAATGTCCCATGTCTGATTTTCCTCTAGTTCAAGAAGTTCAGTTTCTATAGCATCCTTCCAACCTATCTCTTCAAGGGAATTCAACAAGTGATTGTGATACTTATATTGTTTGGTGCACGTTCGAACCATGTAAAAGAGTAAAGGGAATTATGCTGAAAATTTGTTGTTGTTTGTTTGGGTTATAAGACAGCACCCATTGTAACTTCGTGAGTTATGTCCCATATTCTGTTTGTGATAGGACGTAATATGTGAAGTTAGATGTTATATTTGTAAGACACCATGTTATGTAACACACCGTATGTAGACATCATGTGATCCTTCGCGGTTGTGGTTGGAAAAGTGTAAACTATGTTATGCTTTCTTAAATTGCAGATTGTTAACCTTATTATATTAGGGCAGCAACGGAATGTATGTGAATAAGATTGGAACTGCACTTGTATAAGCATGATTTCAGATTTGTTTAACTGAAATGAAACTTTGAAGTAAACAACCAAAGTAGTTGAACCCTTTTTGCAAAGATATGAAAAGTCTGGTCATGTTTCAATAAGGTCCAGCGTTTTGAAAAAATTATTTATGGAGCTATAGACCTCCAAATGAGGCAAATAATATACGGTTTTAAAGCCCCAAATGTCTATTTTCTGCTATAAAAATTTCCGTTCATTTGGCAAAGAATTCGATTTATTATGAATTTTTTAATACAGACGGATTTTTTTAAAATTTTAACAATAACCACTTTCGGAAATTTCCCATATTTGGGCTGCTGTTAGATGAAGATTTTTATTTCACACTCCAACACGATTATATGAACATCTCCCTAGACACATACGGTAAGGGATGTCTCAGGTAAAAGGTAATATATATATATATAGAAAAGAAAAGAAGAACCGTGGACTATGAAATTTTCTTAAAAAACAGTATTTACTCAATACGCCTGATTTATCATTTACTCTGAATCCATTTCTGATGAAGACATCATAACTTTTATTATCTATTAAATATATCTATGCTTCAGCAAAACAAAATTTGCTTGTGTTACTTCTTCCTAAGTATAATAAATGTGGAAGGAAAAAAGTAAGTTTTTCATGTAAGCTTCTGTAAAGACATATTATGATACTAGCAGAGATTTTCTATTGACAAAAAATTGATTTATATATCATTGTAAGATTTTTGTCATTATGTTGAGGATTAGCCATCATACAAAGTAATTCCTTAATTCGTCATAGTATCTACTCTAGTCCTTATAACTATATCTGTTGCTGCAAGCTGTCACCATAGCCATATATGTCTCCTATCCCAAGTCCTTCTTCTTTTTTTTTTTTTTAGATATTCCAATCGGTTCATCGCTTCGAAACTAGTTTAATTCGGAGCGAGTCTCGGGATTAAGGCTTTAAACCTCTGCAAAAAACGGTACTGGGAGATCCCAAGTCCTTCTTTAAAGTTGACAATTTCTGGTCATCTTCATCAATTACTTCCTATAAAAAGATACATCAAATTGTAGAAACATTACATTAAATTATCTTGAGTTCATCTGAAGTTGTTTGATGTAGATGCTCATCAACCATAAATGCTGTCATTCAATTGTCTGCACTGGATCAATTTCACTTGGCATGTTACTATACATTTTGTAGCTAGTAGGAGAAATATAACTGAAATTGGGTTGACTTTGTGTAGTTTTACTATGTTGTGGTCTTTAATCCTACCTTATATGTCTTACTGAATGGTTGACTTGATATTTTCGTTTTAGGTTATGAGAACTCTAGTGCAGTTTGGAGCACAAAAACAGATATTGATTGATGGAAAGCCTCACTTAGGAACAGATAGGTTGGTTCCATTACTTCGCAATTTTAAGCGACATCTGCAAGATTTGAGCGTGAGTTCCAATAACTTTGTTTTATTGAAAATAAATTCATATGTCAGTGTAGTTTTCCTTCTTGCACTGGTCACATTTTGTCCAAATAACACTGCTGCTTCTTTGTTCTAGGTTACCATAAAGTTTGGAACAAGAGTAGATGATCTAGTTATAAAAGATGGACATGTTCTGGAGGATATGGCATCCGAATCAGCCTATTAATTACGTTTAAGGAGCCAGAAGATGGAATGCGATGCAGTTATTCTGGCTGTTGGTCATTCTGCTCGCGATATATATTATATATCAAATGCTTCTTGCTCGTGATATGGAATTGGTACCAAAAGATTTTGCTGTGAGTTTGTGCAGACATCCTTTTTTAATCTTTATTTCAATTTATTAAAAATGTGATGCTTATCTGTTTGTATATCCATGTGTAAGCTTTGCGTATCCCTCCAACAGTTCCAAATGGTATCACTGTTGCTTCTTCATAACCAACAAACATGGTGTAAAATGTATGCATGATTTATGTGGATTTCTTTTTCATTAAGTAACTGGTTCAGATTTTTTCCAAAGTTAAGATTTGTCAATAAATATTATATGGTCTTCCTGTCAATTCTTTGTTTGTCTCTTACATGTGAAAGGAGCTAGTTTTGACACTCAAAAGGGATTGACAATCTAGCTGACATTGGTAGCTTATTATGGTATTTCAATTGTGACCGTTCTTGACCATACCAAAGTAATAGTTGACAAATCCTTGGATGACCTACTTTAAGTGTCCTTTTAGTAGCCCTATCTGCTCAATCACTTATGATTAATATATCTGTTATGTTTTACTGCAGTGAATTTAAAAAAAAAAAAAAATCGAAAATTTGAGGTGATTAAAATTGTAAATTCACTGGACTTTTCAATTTCCTTTTGGCAGGAGTGGGATATTTAATGCAATGGTTGAGGTGCCACTAGATTGGCCAAATTCTTTATCGTTATATAAAAAGAAATTTCATTAAGGAAGAAAAGAAGAGTACACAGCTAGAGGATAAAACATCCTCACAGCTAGAAACTAAGAGATTGAGTCATGTAACAAGGCAGGCCAATCTCTCTGCATGTCTAACAATAAAAACCGCATCAGATGTAAAACACATCTAGTTACCAATTGTAACACCAGATGTAAAAATCTATATTAATCGCAGGCATGAAAAACACAGTTTAGTTACCAATGAGAAGGAAGTATATACATCAATCAAATGATTAAACAACTTCACATATACAAGTAATCGAATGAGAAGGAAATATCACAAAACTAAAAGAACTAAAAAACTAAAAACGTCATACTTATATTGTAATTTTCTTCATCACCAACGTATTTATCAAGAAGACGCTTCTTGATAATCATCGCGGAAGGTTTGAAATTTCAAAGAAAAGATAAGAAAAGAAAAGATTGGCGCAGAGACTGAAAGAAAAAAAGAAATGACAGAAATAAAGAAATAAATTCGACTGACACAAAGAAAAGAAAAGAAAGAAATAATTGACAGGGTATTAGGTTGTGTATGGGTTTGATAAAAGAGATCTGTATTTTGTGTTATAACAAGTGTTTGATTCGACCGACTGAGATATAGAGAGAGAGAGAGATAAGCAGCAAAAACATTCAAATTTCAAAGAAAAGAACAGATGGCGCAGAGACAGAAAGAAAGAGAGAATTGACAGGGTATTAGGTTGTGTGTGGGTTTGTGTTATAACAAGGGTGTTTGATTCGACCGAGTGAGAGAGAGAGAAGCAGCTAAAACATTCAAACTGCCCTAACTGACTCAACGGCTATAACATTCAAACTGCCCTAACTGACTCAACGGTTATAACAAGTGTGTTTGATTCGACTGAGAGAGCGATAACTGACTCAACGCCTCCTTCCCGCTCCACCTCTGGCTTCCCGCTTTGTATATATATTATTATTATTAATATGTTATGTTTACTTTTTCTTTCTGTTTATAATTGAGTTTATGTTTTATTCAAAATCTTTTAAGAGTTCTTTTTTTTTTTTAATAGCTGTGGGAATTGAATTCAAAAAGTAAAAATACATTTTGCAATGAAAAAATTGTAAAATACTGATATTGTGAAAACAAATGCTCTGTCTCTGTCTCTGAACGTACATCTCTGTCTCTAAATTGTAGAACTTTCCTCTCACCAATGATGTTGTCCAACCAAAATCTGCTAATCATTAATTATAATGTGATCAAATAGTTCGAGAGATAGCATGAAGCATCCCGTGATAGCTACTGATTTCATGAGAAATTTGATAACTATGCGCTCTGTGTAGCTTCTTTGAATCTTGAGGGTAAAACTGAACTCGCTGTTTCAGGATTGGATTGGGTCCAATCCAAACTACAGTAAACCAAGCCCAAGCCCAAGCCCAGCCCAATCGACTCATGTTTGTATAACGTAATAAAACTCTCTTACTTATCCGAAGGAATCACAAACTCGCTCGCTTACTGTCCCTCACCTCATTTCCCAATGCTCCTTCTTCCCTCCACCACTTCCTCTTCCTACTTAAACCTTCATCATAATGCTTTCGGGTTTCGAGGTTCGAGTTATCCAGGAACGGGAGTAGGAGTAGTAGTGCCTTATACTGGTTACCAAACATTCCGTATTCGTTGTGCCAAGAGAACAGGCAAACAGCGGTACCCATCGGAGAAGAAGAAGCTGAAATCAAAGCATAAAGAGCTTCTGTCAGATTCTAAGGAGAAAAGCAAGTTTGAGGGCACATGGAGGCTCTTCAAGCTCGCCGTTCCACTGGATCAAGACCCTGGCAAGGACTCTCTACAAGTTTCCGATGGTCTTCTTCAAGAAATCGCCCAAGTTCTCAAGTTCCCGGTAATGTAAAATGCGAAGCCTTTGTTCATAACAAGAAAATAAAAAATAAAAAATAAAAAATTATGATTTCTTTTTAATTTTCAATCTCCGTCTGTCTCAGGTTGCTTCGCAGTTGCCACGTGAAGCTTTCTCGGTTGTTAGGAAGTCGTTTGATGCTAGGAAGGTGCGTGATATGTAAATGTTCTATGAGAAACTGAAATTTTGTTAAAATTAGTTAATTAATAATACAATTAAAAAATAGATTAAATATTTTCCCATGTCACAAATTAGATTAATGAGTTCATTGGGTTATAATGTGATTTTTTGGTTTTAAATCCGACAGGATTGAAGCCAAAAGGGGTGGTGTAGTGTTTGGGCAGAGTTAAGAGAGTACGGACTAGAAGGTGTGTAGCTGAGACGCTTAATCCTTAAATTTATAAAATGAGTTATTTGAATCCTTTATTTATAAAATGAGTTATTTGAAGGTGTGAGAGTTTGACTGCGGGAGTCAAACTCTTAGGGCTGAGCCTGAGATAATAGATAATATCCATTAGTATTTAACCTGTTGCTTTTAGAAGCTGTGGGGCCCATGAAATTGGTTCAGAACAGGCCTGTATGTATATGTGTGTCAAACAATGATCAAAATGCAGAATCATGGTTGCCAATGGAAATAGTGAAAACCTGCATAGATACATTTGTCATGTGTGGAATGTTTGAAGCAACTCATCTGAATTCGGAATGTTATAAAACCTTGTTTTGAGTTGCTATACGGTTTCCCATCCCCTTATTTTGTTTTGCTGATGATTTTTTAGAAATTAAAGGAGCCCAAATTTGTGCATACTGTGGATATGGATGTCCAAAAACTCCTCAATCTGGAGCCTCGTGCTTGGGATTTTATTTCTCGGCTGGAGCCTAGAGTTGGACTCGTGGAACACTTGCATGATGAAAAGGATTTTGGTGATCTGATGAGTATCATTCGTGACTGTAAAGAAAAAACGGAAGCTGTAGTGGAAGGGGAAAATGGACATAGCATTTTCTCAAGAGAGTTGTACCGGAACCAGGCTACGAGAAAGCCGAAAATTGCAGTTGTGGGTAGTGGGCCTTCTGGCCTATTTGCTGCTCTTGTTCTTGCAGAGCTTGGTGCAGATGTTACACTAATAGAAAGAGGTCAACCAGTTGAGAAAAGGGGGCGTGATATTGGTGCTCTTGTAGTTCGTCGAATTTTAGAATTGGAAAGTAACTTCTGCTTTGGAGAGGTTGTACTATGCATCTTGATTTATTTCCTTAAATGATGGTTTATTGTCATAGTATAATAGATGTTGCATTTGTGATCACATCATTCATCACTTTTGACTTATAGGAGTTTGTTTTGGGATGCTATCCACTTATTTCTTTTTATCTTAAGTTGTCAGATTCTGACAAATGTGCAAATTTATTTTAAAATAAGTATGGAGAATGACCAATCTGTCCTTATTTTAAAAATTATTTATTAATTTATCCTACTTTCAAAGTTATTTATTGATCTACCTTTCTTTGACCAAAGTTGACCACTTTTGACCATGTTGGTCCCACAAATGTGACGTGTCCTCATTATATGATTGACATGTGTCATTTTTGTGGGACTCACATGGTTGAAAGTGGTAAACTTTGGTCAAACTAGGGTAGATTGTTAAATGACTTTGAAAGTAGGGTAGATTGGCAAATAGTTTTTAAAATAAGGGTAGATTGGTCAATAAGCTGAGTATTCTTTTGTTGCATTTGTGCAGCCTTGTTGCTATAGTTTGAATTTTCTCCATAACAGGCAATAGGCTATGAGCTTATTATGTCATGCTATTTGAGTTAATGAAATTATGTGCACCTTTTGAGTGTTCATCTAGGCTGCGATATTTATACATTTCTAATAGGTTCTGAAGTGCTTATGTAAATCATCATTGGGATAATATATTGTGTTACAGATGGTCAGCTCATTTGTTATTCTCTTTTGTTGCTTTATATTCAACTAATCTTTCTCCCACACAAGTTCACTGGTTTATTTTCCTTGTCATTTATTAAGGACTTATTGTGGCAGGGTGGTGCAGGTACCTGGAGTGATGGAAAGCTGGTGACTAGAATTGGACGCAACAGTGGCAGTGTTCATGCGGTTAGTTTCCTTATGTTGTATTTATGAAGTAGATATTTGCATTCCGTTTATGTGTTCAGTTGATCCTTTTTCTTGTAGACTTCTTAAGAAAACAGTGCTACATGGTTGTACGCAATGTTGATAGTAAAATGGTGAGAGTGTCATAATCCTTTTTCAGTTGATCCTTTCTCCCACGCAAATTTATAAATGCATGCTGTTGCCTTTGTCTATAGTCCTTAGATCAAATGTGCAAGTTTGGGTAAGTCACTCCAGAATTTCAGTAGGCTTTTATTGGTCAGAAAAGTGTAGTATAGAAGTTTAAGAAGAATTTGAACATTTCATCATCAGGTAGTATTTTTCTGCTTAGGTTGACTTATTTACTAGATAGAGATATATGTTCAGAATTGAAGTTAGGCAACGCTTTTAGAGAGCATCAGGTAGTATCCCTTCCCCAGACACTCACGGAGTGGGTCTTGAACTGGGTCGGCCTTTTTTTGTCTGCCCACAAAAACCCTTTTCTTGTTATATTATTAAGATTTAAGAAGATTTGAAACAAAATTTTTCTTCCCCCACTTTTCTGAAGAACAAAGTAGGTAAAACTTCCCTGTGCCAAAATAATGGGTATTAATAAGTCACTACTGCCATCTAAGTAGAATCCAGTGTTGGGATTTAATAAGATATGGAAAATATAGCCATATTTAGAACATAGAGTCTACGTAGAAACTGTAGGGGTGAGTAAAAACGTAAAATCGCAAAACGTAAACGAAACGTAAGAGTTTACTACTTACAATACAATATATATCTAACATAGAAAACCAAAACACCCCACTCTACTAACTAATGTGTGTGTCCTAGGACCCAGACTCATTTACTCAAAAATTTAGTTAAATCCTCTTAATTAATCGTGCACGGGCCACGTCTTGGATCCACTGTAAAAGCCCAGAATATTAAGTCTTGGATCCACTGTAAAAGCCCAGAATATTAATTATTTTTTAAATTTAATTAATAATTTATCATTTTTTAAAGTACGTAAGTATACATATTTTTTTCTATTTTAAATTTTAATTGACTGTTTTATAAAATTAAATTAATTTTTTTATAAAATGAAAAACGTGTGTAGAAAAGAAAAAGAAAAAAGGATCACGTGTATAAAATAAATTAATTTTTTGCTGGTTGTTGCTGATTGTAGTAACTAACTGTGTGTTCTGCTCTTCCCTTTTGCATCCACTTTATTTTTTTTTGAAAAAAACTGAGTCAACTCGGTAAACTCGCCGAGTCAACCGAGTTTACCGTGTTGACACGGCGTTTCAACCGTTTCGACCCAGAATCCGTTTCAACTACCGTTTCAACACATTTTTTGTCATAAAAACGTAGAAACGGTACGTTTCTATGTTTCGACACTACGTTTTTACAACACTGCTTTACAACATACCAGATTTTTTATACTTGATTACGTTCATTATCATTGCTGTATTCATGTATTGAACCTCTGGTTTACTTTTACCCTCAAGGCTCCTGAATACTAGGAAATCTATGACTATGTGTCTGATAAAAAATTATGGTTGCGTTTGATGCATAATTTGGAAGTTGAATACCAACATAACTTTTTGTTTTGTCTGTTGTTTGGTAGTCAATGCACAACACAAGCAATTTTGTGTTGTATGTTGTTTAATACGAATAAGTACCAGAAAGAACAATGTAAAATTTACTATAATACCCTTTGTATTGTGCACTGTTTGTTTTGTACGTAGAAAATGCACAGGACAAAGTTTTGATTTGTTTATTATTTTAGTATTTACTATAATACCTCTTTGCAGTTATACAAGGGTAAGGCTGCGTACAAGGATTGCTTCCACCCCACACTTGCTAGTCGGGTTTAACGGGGAGTGGTTTTTTTTTATTATTTCTCATATTCACACTCTAATGTTGTTTATAATTTATTCATAATGTCAATATATTTTTTAATTAATTTTTTATCACATAATTATAAATAAAAAATATATAAGGAAGTCTAAAGTTATAGTTTTAGTTCTAATAAATATGTTTTGGCTGCAAATAAGAAAGTCCACCATGTAGACGGAACAAGAGTTAACGGTAACCTTCGCAGGGACAATGACACCTTCTGCCTGCATCATCATTGCTTTGGTTGGCATGGAATCAGTTGCAGCAGTTGTGTAGAGTATCAGGTATTCATCTCTCTGATGATTAATCGGATTTACAGAAATGGAGAGAAAGTTGCAGACCAAACAGCTAAAGCACAATATTCAAACGTAGGAATGTGCAGCTTTTCTCAAATCAGGGATGAGTGAAAAAGGAAACAATAAATTATTCAAAACTGATAGAAGAAACGAGGATGGGAATCTTCAGTAAGAAAGAGAATTGTATTAGATTGTGAAATCAAGTCAACAAATGGGCTAGAGTGAGCTCCATGAAGTTTGGCCGAAAAATTAGAGGGGAAGGGGGAAGCTACAAAAAGGGAAGGGTTGCTAATTTCGTGTGAGACCAGAACAAAAGGGTCTCAACTTTTTGCCCCATCCATTGAATGCTTCGAGTTTGAATACCGTGCCACTATGTTAATTTAGACTCCTGGAGGAGCTTGGTTCTTCGGTCAATGGGGGTGGCAGAGACGATAGTGAAGGAAGGGATTAGCTTTAGAATAAGAACAAGGTGTCTCATAGCTTTTCATATTATTTGTGCGCAAAATTGTCCCCTCGTTAGTGAGTAACAATTTAAGAGTGGTGCTGTCCCTTGAGTTACTTTTTGTCTGGTACTTCAACTCTTTTACAAATCAAACAAAGGGCAATTTTTTTGTGCTGAGTTGTCCCTTATTTTTTTTTATCAAATTAAACGGGTTCTATAATAATTGGAAAACCCTTTTACTTTTTTCTCCGCTGCCTTAAAATGTAGAGGTTCTGACTCAAGCGTTGATTTCCTATTTGGGAAGGTTTTTTTAGCTCCCAACTAGTTTAGGATAAAGGTAATGTTGATGTTGTTGAAGTTTTTGTAGCTAGTAGGAGAAATACAACTAAAGCTGAGTTGACTTTGTGTACTTTTACTATGTTGTGGCCTTTATGCCTACCTTATATGTCTTACTGAATGGTTGACTTGATATCTTCATTTTAGGTTATGAGAACTCTAGTGCAGTTTGGAGCTCCAAAACAGATATTGATTGATGGAAAGCCTCACTTAGGAACAGATAGGTTGATTCCATTACTTCGCAACTTTAGGCGACATCTGCAAGATTTGGGTGTGAGTTCCAATAACTTTGTTGTATTGAAAACAAATTCATATGTCAGTGTAGTTTTCCGTCTTGCACTGGTCACATTTTGTCCAAATAACACTGCTGCTTCTTTGTTCTAGGTTACCATAAAGTTTGGAACAAGAGTAGATGATCTAGTTATAAAAGATGGACATGTTCTGGGGGTTAGGGCATCCGAATCAGCTGATAAATTACATTTAAGGAGCCAGAAGATGGAATGTGATGCAGTTATTCTGGCTGTTGGTCATTCTGCTCGTGATATATATCAAATGCTTCTTGCTCATGATGTGGAATTGGTACCAAAAGATTTTGCTGTGAGTTTATGCAGACATCCTTTTGTAATCTCTATTTCAATTTTAAAAATGTGACGCTTATTGTATGCACAATGCTTATCGGTTTGTTTATCCTTGTGTAAGCTTTGTGTATCCCTCTAACAGTTCCAAATGGTAGCATTGTTGCTTCTTCATAACCAACAAACATGGTGTAAAATTTATGCCTGATTTATGTGGGTTCCTTTTAATTAGGTAGGTAACTGGTTCAGGTTTTTTCCACAGTTAAGATTTGTGAATAAATATTATATGGTCTTCCTGTCAGTTCTTTGTTTGTCTCTTACATGTTAAAGGAGCCAGTTTTGACACTCAAAAAGGATTGACAATCTAGCTGACATTGCAGCATTGGTAGCTTATTATGGTATTTCAATTGTGACCATTCTTGACCATACCAAAGTAATACTTGACAAATCCTTGGGTGGCTAGGAGGATGACCTACTTTAAGTTGCCTTTTAGCAGGCCTATCTGCACGATCACTTATTATGAATAACTGTTTTGTTTTATTGCAGTGATTTAAAAAAAAAAAAAATTGAAAATTTGCAGTGATTAAAATTGTAAAGTCACTAGATTTTTCAATTTCCTTTTGTGCAATGGTTGAGGTGCCACTAGATTGACCAAATTCCTTATTGTTATATAAAAAGAAATCTCATTAAGGAAGAAAAGAAGTGTACAAAGCTAGACGATAAAACATCCTCACAAGAAAATTACAAAAGAAAACACCTAGAAACTAAGAGATTGAGTTATGAAAACAAGGCAGGCCAATCTTTCTGCATGTGTAACAAAGAAACACACCTAAAAAATCCATGAGCTGAAACTACAGACAAGATAAAAATGTTGTCTAGAGATGAAGTTCCCCTGAAAATTCTAGCATTTCTGTCCAGCTAAAGATGCCAGAGAACCTTCCAAACGAAAGCTGAAACCTCTAAATTTAATATGGAGAAAATAATGTAGACCCTTAGGGCAGACTGTTAAGGTTATTCAAGTAACGTTAATAAGAATATAATAAATGACAATTTGTATGAGAAATATCAATTATACTGGTACTTCATCAAACGCTCCATACTCTCATTACAGTAAGTAACCTTACAGAAAGTTTGGAATAAAGGAAATAACTCTCAGCAACAACGAAATAAGAAAAGATAGTGTGAAGCACATAGAGAGGCTTCACTCTCTCCCAATTCCCACAAGGGACCTAACAAACCCGATTCTCCAGATGCCCCCTCTCCTGCCTCCCCCCTTGCATTTATCCTTCTCCCACTAACTAACTTGCTTCCACGCTCCCATCCACGTTGGCATTCTGTTGAGGGCCAATATGGGCATTAGGAACAGCAAGACTTCCACCCGTAATTGGATTTCCATTCTGCATGTTTCCAATTGGGCCATTCTGATTGTTGGGGGCCCAAGTCCTCCTATTCTTGCTCCTTTGATAAACTTGCAATGGCACTGTATCACAGACCTAATTCTCATAAAAAAATTCCTAGATTGGCCAAATTCTTATTTGTTAATGATGTATGATGAAGCACCCTGTTCTGGTCTATTTGAATTTTCTTTTTTAGTGAAATAAAATGATCATATAGTGTGATGATTGCTTTGACATATGTTCTTCTCATAATATTTTTTTTTTCTTTTTAACATTGGTATCAGGTAGGGCTACGAATTGAGCATCCTCAAGAATTAATAAACAGTATACAGGTTTGTATTTAGTCAAATTTGTTTTATCAACATTGTTTTTCTGTTCAATTTCTTTGTTTATCAGTTTAATTTGCAATATCATTTACATTGATAATATCAAGTGAAATGTGTGTAAAAAGATGCCAAATTAAGACATTAATTTTTTAGATCAATTTTTTCGTTTTGAAGACCAAGTTGATGTCATAAATTAACATTGAAAGACCTTTTAGATGTATTTATAAATGACGGACTAACCTGATAACATAATATCTTTGGAGGACCAGAATATATTTACTCTTAAAATTAAATTTAAGCAAAAGGTAAAGTGGGTCATAGCATGTCCATGGTTCAAGTCCAAAGGGCTATTGTCTTAAGAAGCGTTAGAGATATAAAACCACTTTTATGCCTCCATCTAACAGCTTAAGGCTGCATTTGGAGAAGGACTTGATAGTATAAGAATATTATCACATCTTATTTGGCGTTATGATCAGGTAATGCAACCTGATAACACTATCCTCTCCATCACTGCTCCATGATAAGACTTTATAGAATAATAACAAGTATTACAAGTACAAACTCAAAAAGCAGCCGGTGCAGTATTGTTGCTCTGTTAATGCATTCTCATTTCTATCATGGAAAGGGAACAAATATGGTATGGCTTGGGGAGTGTTTTTTCCTCATTTTTTGTATAATCTGAAACTGCTTTAGCTGGAACTGGATTGCTAATTGTATATGTGTGTGTTTTAATGTCCGCCCTACCCCATAAAGGGAAGATTACTATGATTTTTTTTTTAATAATTGTTTAATGTTTTACTCTAGTTCTCCCCATTTGATAAGAACAAGGACCAAAGTGAGTTTATCATATCCACAATCCTGCCAGCTGTCTATGTATACTAACTATTAATTGGGGCAAAAAGAGATGATCCTGATAACTTCATTCTCAGACATGATGGGATAATTTTCTTGTTCTGTATTGGCCGACAGTTTTTTTGTTCCTCATAAAAGATTTTTCTATCATGACTTATTTATTTATTTGTCATGATTATGATCCATACAGATTTATTCATTTAAATGTGTAGTATTCTGAATTGGCAACTGAGGTTTGTCGTGGACGTGGTAAAGTTCCAGTAGCAGATTACAAAGTTGCCAATTATATTGACAAAGGGAATTTCTGTGAATCATCTGATTCAGGGGTGGCTAATCGTAGCTGCTACTCTTTTTGCATGTGTCCAGGTGGGCAGGTATGCATTCTCCTTTAACTTGCGGATCATATACAATTATGCATTCTCTTTGCAGTGCTGATTCCATGCACATAAAGGTAAATGGCATGGTATACAAATGTACTGACTAATTTGCAAAAGGGGAGAGGGGGGTGGGGGCGGGGAGTGCATTTGGTTGTAGTGGGAGGATTAGTAGCATTAAACTATTATTCTGTTTTAAGTTACCCCAGCCATTATTTGATGTCAGTCGACTTATAGGGAACTATGGAATCTTGGAACTTGTAGGTTGTTCTCACTAGTACAAATCCATCAGAGATGTGCATCAATGGCATGTCATTTTCTAGGCGAGCATCTAGGTGGGCAAATGCTGCACTAGTGGTGACAGTCACAATGAAGGATTTCGAAGCTTTGAATTATTATGGTCCTCTTGCAGGGGTTGAATTTCAGGTAGGTCTTAATTCTTGTAATCAGAGTTATGTGTTCTTCTGCTTTTAAATATTTAAACTAAATGCCCTTTATTTCATTTCTTTTTATCATCTTTATAAATATCAAAAGCAACTGTGAAGTTAAAGGGTGCATTTGATTTGCTAAAATATAAGAGACTACAGCAAAAAAAGTTGTACCTTGTTTGATTATGATAATAACCTTGGGATGCACCACCTCAAAAGTTAGCTTAAAGGGTGGGAGTGCCCAAGGCCTTATAAACCCCACATTAGTTGTCCGTACAACCATTGTGGGACTCCAAATCCTATACCTTGCAAATGGGTCCTAACATTCCATCACGCTCCACAGCCCTAGCACCTGAACGGACTGGCTTTGCGCTAGTCTTTACTAGCCCTGGGCGAATACTGCACTGCCAGCGTCACCACCCGCACCACTCAATTGCAACTGGAAGACATAGTGGATGACACTAATATCATTTGATAAGAACTTTAGGATGCACCACTCCAAAAGCTAGCTCAAAGGGTAGGAGTGCCTAAGGCCTTGTAAACTCCACATTAGTTTCCCGTACAACCAATGTGGGACTCCAAATCTCACACCTTGCAAATGGGTCCTAGCAGATTGTTAAAATAGTATAAGTACTGTACAAAAAATAATTCAAGGGAAAACACAAATTTGTAAATTTTTGCTACTAAACCAAGTTACAAAATCTTGTATAACCCCTATCCACTTATTACCCCAGCTTATTGGATGTGTATAACACATATCCATGAATATCACAAAATTTTAGTCGAGTGTATATTCATCAAACAGCTAACAACATAATAAATTGTCCTATGACTCAGCCACTTGTGCTGTACAGTTCTATTCGTGCTGTCTCCCAATATGCATAAAACACAATCAAAATGTGTGGACTTTGTTGTCTATTTTTCTCTTCATAAATCCAACTTTTCTTCCCTAGAGCCATATTTTAACACACTAACTATTAAATAATACAATATATGAATCTATATTCTGTTTTGCTGGCCTGTACGCATAAGTGATACAAGAAATAGACCAATATTGCAAGAGATAAAATTTTGTTTGACCATATTGTACTTGCTCTCGATGGATGCATGGCAGTGTTCTTAATGTTACAAGTTTGACAATCTGTGTTTTATCTAATACTTCTATTGTTTAGAGAGAGTTTGAACGAAGAGCTGCTATGATGGGAGGAGGAAATTTTATAGTGCCTGTCCAGACAGTTACAGACTTTCTCGAGAACAAGTTGTCAGGTAAAATTATTGACCATTACCCTTTATTTGTTACCCCTAGATTCTCAGTAGATTAATTTAGCTTGACTAGTCTGTGCCAGTATCATCTGTTCCCCCATCAAGTTATCGATTGGGTGTCAAGGCAGCAAACCTCCATCAGCTATTTCCCATTCATGTGACTGAAGCTTTGAAGCATTCACTTGTAACCTTTGACAAGGAGGTTTGCAATTTCCATGTTCTTTAAACTAGTATTCCGCTGTCCTTCATAATATTATCTAAAAGAAGTACTAAAACAATTCAATCTTCTAAACTTTCAGTTATCAGGATTTATCTGCAATGAGGCTCTCCTTCATGGTGTAGAGGTAATAATTAATATGCTCTCTTTTCGGGTTTGGTGTAATATCATTGTCCCATTGTATTTATGTATTTACTAAAATTCCTTATAGTATTCCCTGCTCCTGGTTCAGTCTCCAGTCATTAATTAAAACTTCCATATAAAGCAAGTAATTGTAAGGACTTTGCTTCTCAACTGTTATTCATGTGTGCTAAACAATGATTTTGTTCCAGACTAGGACCAGTTCCCCTATCCAGATTTCACGCAATGTTGACTCTTACGAAAGCACTTCCGTAAAAGGACTATATCCAGTTGGTGAAGGAGCAGGTTATGCCGGTGGGATCATTAGTGCAGCAGTAGATGGAATGCATGCTGGTTTTGCTGTGGCAAAAAAATTCAGCTTATTTCATGGAGATGTCGAGTCTGTTCTGGGCAAGGCTCAAAGTGTTGGATTTGTCAAGTACTAGGGAGATCTAATTATCTTCAGGTGTTTCACTGTTCTTGGTGCCAGCATTCGCACTAACCTAAATATGTGATCGACATTTTGGTTATAGACCAGCTGTAGATAGTGGAAGATACTCCTCATCCCAGTTGCACTACAGAATATTCAAGATAGTGCGTTAATTATGGTTTTGTTCTTTTGTCTCCCCACATAGTTGTCAGCTTGTCATGGAAGGAAACATTGAGGTTAACTGATATATCTCCTTGTTATACCTGTGCAGCTAACAAGGTTGTCTTCCAGACTGATGGTCTGAGACTGGAATGATCAGTTTCATTTCAACATTCATTTAGGTTGCTGTCTTTTCCACAGTGATCATGACATAAATTGAATTGCATACCAAATGCTTGAATGCTGCTTGGAGGTTAAAACTTCTAGCAAGGACCTGTGAACATTTGACTTGGAAGCTGCAATTTTGGGTGATCACAAGCTTGGTAAAACATTTATGCAGCTACTCTGTTTATCAATTAATATAGAATGTAGTACTTACTAAAAAGTATTTCGAGATGGTGGCAACATTAAACACCAGGTGCATGGTAAATTTTTCTGTAATGTTATATACACACTTTTTCTTTAAAAAAAAGTAGAGCATTTCTCTATCATTGGATCTGTCTATCAGTGTTTTAAATATCGGATTTGTTGGTTTGACCCCAGGAAGATCATGAACTGGCCATGTTTTTTGTTGTCTAATACCTTATTATGTATTAGTGTACAAATGACAACTTATGATATTGAGTTTAGTCTGACAACTTATGACAGCTTGAAGGTTAGTTTTTGTGGATGTATTAGTGTACTTAAAGTTATAATGTGAAAGCATGGCGTTTTTTATAAGTCAAGAAATATATCGTAGATAATAGTTTGAGTAAAAAGTTTAGGTTCAACTAATTAAATTCATTATAATAGATGTAAGAATTTGGTTTTAAATTCTATTTTATCAATAAGTGATGAATTCAAGAGAATTTTTTTTTTTTTGTTCGAAAAATGAAATTACATATGACATGGATTATATAAATATATATCCAATATCAAGTTAAAGGCATATTTACAAATATTAGAAACAATGTTAAAGTATATTTTGTCTTTTCGCCTAGCATTCATTTTCAATTTTTTAATTTGGTTCTTACACTCAATAGATTTACAAATATTAGAAACAAGGTTAAAGTATATTTTGTCTTTTCACCTAGCATTCATTTTCAATTTTTCAATTTGGTTCTTACACTCAATAGATATTTACAAATACTAGAAACAAGGTTAAAGTATATTTTGTCTTTTCGCCTAGCATTCATTTTCAATTTTTCAATTGGGTTCTTACACTCAATAGATGAGAACAAAGTTGAAAACGATTGTCCCTATACTTAATTATATTATTCCAAAATATTATACTTTTGGAATCAATATGTGACATTCATTTTCAATATTTCTCAGTAATGTCATTCCTATTTCACGTTATGACAACGAAAACATTCATGGGTGACATTGAAAATACTGTACATTATTGATTCCAGAGGATTGTGAATATGTATGGTCCTAATTAAACCCCAACTATATTGCGAATGTCGGGCTTCAATCCTTGTACTCCTTTCCATTCTTTATTTGGATGTTATTTTAAATATGAAGACTGCACAGTTCAGCGGATTTTGAGGTAGCTTTTATCTGCGTTTTTCAAAAATTTATATTTCCCTCATTCCTTAATCAATTTAAACTTATCAAACATCAAATTGAAGCTCTAGGTGTCTACTATATCTTATAAAAATTTGAGAGCAATTGAATTAATAGAACTCCCATAGTGACAGAAACCATGAGGGAACTTGGTGGACCCGATACTGCTATATTAGCAATCTTGTACATTGTACTTGCAACGAACGTATCTCCTTCGTTTTTCATAGAAACAAGGCATACTTTATGTAAAATTTAAGCCCTAGAGATTTAGTTTATTTACATGATTTTTGGAGAATTTTCTGAGCACGGAAATATGCCTTTGCTTTGGGATTTATGAATTGTCCTTGAAATTCTTGTAGTTCCACTGTAAACATATTAAGGAATTAACTTCCAACAAGCATATTCACAGTTATAGAACTCCAATTGAGACGTGTGATACCTCGTTGGAAAGCTAGAAGAGTCTAGTTTAACATAATAAAATATAGAAATTTATGGACATGTAGTCCATCTACAGTTTTGAGAAAACTGTAGTTACCTCAAGTTGATAAAATGCTAAATTGTGTAAATAAGCTTTGTTGGTTTATGAAAAACATTTAGCAGTCTTAGATAGGTGTTGTATGATAGTTAAGCAATAGAAATTAATGTTCCGCAATTATAAATTGGTTATGATAACAGTTTTGAATTTTGATAAATACGGTTGTTTAAACGTAAACGTTGTTTTAAAAAGAAATTTTTTTTTACCGTATTTTAATTAACTGTTATGATTATAACTGCATCTAATATCATATATAATGATAGCATACCGGCATACAATGGCCTCCTACAGGGTTGTCACACCCACAAACTCTTTAAGAAAACTTAATCCACTAACCATTAAACTAATACATAATATATCGCCCATTAAACTTTGTATAATAACAATACCAAATTACGGATGCTATTATCTTTTAAAATATAAAACGCTAATTAACTAAGGCGGAAAAGATGAAGCTGCTGCTCTTATTCAATAGAGAGGCAAAAAGACGTGAGTGCATTTGTAGAAAGGAGGTCATATGTTGTAGGGAAATACCGAAATAGGGATAGTGACGTACCAACCATAAGTTAATGGTGTCGTCTTCTTGTACATGTAGACGGATGCCTTCTTGAAACTATAACTATTTATGCACAGGTGGCGGCCGGACGGGCGTTCCTGGATGAAAAGGTATATTGGGTTTTGGTGGGACGTCGATGTGGACAGGTGGTTTGTACTGAGCCCGCCATGGGTTTTGTAGTTGAGGCTCAGCAAGCCCTGCAAGGGTGAACATGATAACTGCAAGGAACGAAATTAGCATGCGTAAGTAAGACATCTTTCCAGCCTTTTTTAATTCTCATGAGCCACAGCATTCAATAATAATAACCATAGAAGACTCACTTCTTATATATAGACATTGGATTTTGTATGGCATATGAATAACTATATATTCTACCTATCTTTTTTTTTTGAGTTACCCAACCCTAATTATCTCGGGGGAACAGTGATGGCTAAAGGTTCAGCCCCCTCCCCAAGAATGCATTCAGCGGAAATCGAACACATATTCAACCCCACTAACTCAGCGCCAAATTACCAACTGAGCTGCACCCATTGGGTAGAAAGGGCCTAATCGGATATGTCACTCTTTATTGCCTTCTATCTGACTTAGTCTTGTAATATGTCACTCTTTCATCCCTCTCCTTTTATTTCTTTATTTTATAACATTGTGTAAGTTTTCATTTAATTTTAATTTGGTCCCTGTATTTTAAAGAATTTTAAATAATTTTTTATAGTTTTAAAATCTTCTAAATAAGTCTTAATTTAGGGATTAATTTCATACCTTTAAAGCTCCATTAAAACTCCATTAAGTGTTGTTCACGTAGCATTTTATATATGACAAAAAAATCTATGATGTTATGATAATTACTTTTAATCATTTGCACAATTCATCTTATGCATAAAAATTGGACATAATTTTTTTGTTTTTGGTACATTGGACATAATTTTTTTTTTTTTTAATCTATTACTTTACCTCTTTCTATTTATCCCATTCTTTTGCAGTTGCTGTCCCATTACCAACCGGAACGAGAACTCTATATATAAAAATATTTGAAATCATCCACAAAAAGGAAACAAAATTATAATCGAAATAGAGAAAATATCAGGGAACTCTATTGTCGTGCATTTTATTTTTTAAAGAAAAAAAAAGAAAGAAAGAAAAAAAACCAGGAACAACTGTCTCACTCCCCGATCCAAGTCCAAGTCCATCACTAAAACGCGTGAAGTAAACTTAAAAGTCAACCGTCAACAGTCAACCAAATCTGAAATAACTACTCATAAACACAATTGACACTTGTCAACAATATGTATGGTCTGAAATGACAATAAGAAAATTCACAATTATGTGCGTTACACTCAAAATATAGACCTAGATTTCAACATGTTTGGTAGAGGAAAAAAAAAATTATTAGGAAAATATAATTATTAGGAATATAATGGAAAAAAGAATTTGGTAGAAAAGTTAAAGAATTTGGTAGAAAAGTTAAAAAAAAAATTGTTTGGTAGGCCGAAATTTTATCGAAAAAATTTCGTTAAATTTGCTTAGTCTATATTTGGTTGAAAGTAAAATATTGATGAGAAAATAGGTTGAAATTACGAAATAACCCTTACAATATTTGAATCAGAACTATTGTTGCCTAATAAAATAATTGTTAGTTTGTTGTTGGATATCTCTTGTTCCAACGTCAGTTTACATATCTCTGTCTTCTCTCTCTTTTTCTGGTTTCAAAATTTGGCAACCATCTCGAAAGGCACGGGGAGCCCGTGTGTGAATTCTCAGTTAACAGCCACAAACAAGCTTGGACATTAGGGCAGTGTTTTGCATTGGAGCGGTGTTGTAAGCTGCAACCATAAGCAAGTGTAAGGCATGTTAATCCTTTCCTATACATCTAAAACATCTTTTTTGCTTTAAGGAAATGATTCCTCCTTTTTTTGGTTTAGGTTATGTCTTTGATTGTTGTGGGGCTGAAATATTTTGTGGGAGACAGATATTGGTAAAGACAAAAAATGGGAGAAACTCATAAGTTAAAAAATATATAAAAATAAAAATAAGAACACATGAATCTTGTGAAGGATTATCATTTATTTTATGTTATCGTTTTCAACTCATTTTTTTTTCTTTTCAAAATAGAAATAAAAATGTATATATTTTCCCGTCATTTGTTTTCCTTCTTGTGTGGGTCTGTCAATTGGTTTTCGTGTTGCTGAGATTGACGACAAGATATTGTCCAATGAAAGCATAGACAAAGTGTATGCATGTGTGTTACACAAATTTTTTAATGTACAATAATGAAATCCTATTTATGATTTTGTGCACTTACCTGAAAAAAACTGTGTTATTAAGAATTCTCATTTGTACTTTAATGAAATCCTAACTTAATTATTTACCAAAAAAAAATCCTAACTTAACAAATTTAAAATCATTATAAATCTGATATATGGTTTTTTTTTTTTTTTTTTTTGGTTGTTTGCAAATATAGTTTTGTAAGTTTGTGGCATAAATGTATTTATACATGGTAGTTATAGCTTATGGTGGCAGAAAGGGCAACGAAAATAGTTATAGTCAATTTCAATATTTGTATGTGCGTCAAGGTTATGTAAAAGAAATATTAGCTATAATAGAAGGAACCACATGTGGATGTGGGTTTGGAATATATATGTATCAATTTTGAGCTCTAGTTTTGTATCCAATTGTATAAAGTGAACTGAAAGAAATATCTTACTCTCTCACTTTGTGAGTAACCCACGCGCCAGTAACGGTGCCAAGAGTTTTGCAAACGATAAGAGGCTTAATTGAAGGAAGCATAGGTGGATGTGATTCTGGAATAGGTGGCTGTGAAAGCATAATTTCCAGACATTCTTCGTCCTTATCCCCATCGAGGATGAAGATGTGCTAGTGTGGAGTGCCCGTTGCGTTGCGTATGTCTTATACGGAAAGGAATCCAGGAAGACAATTTTTTGGATGTCCCAATTT